CAGCAGTGCATGGTGCAGTCATACACCATAACACTGCTCATGCCAATGGTACTTACATGGGATTCTAAGATCTTAAACATGATGATCCAAATCCATTACTACAAGACTACCCAAATGGACAATGCTGGGGTAGCCAAGTGGTTTAAGCATTCGCTCGTCACGCCAAAGACCCGGGTTCAATTCCCCACATGGGTACAATGTGTAAAGCCCATTTCTGGTGTCCCCCGCCATCATGATTGCTGGAATATTACTAAAAGAGGCGTAAAACTATACTCACTCACTCACCTTTCTAGTCAAGAAGACCAAGTGGTCTGTAAATATAACTTCATTCAGACATAATCCTCCTGAGAACAATACAGAGGTACACAAAAAACACAATTTATCCTAAGACACAACATATCGTTTGACAAAAAATAACATGCTTTATTATGACTTTCACTCCTATGAATCTTCTCCCAAATCAACATGAACAATGATATGTTTCCTTCAGAACATGGACGAGGAGGAGGATCTCACTGCTTTCATAATTAGCTTTTGATGAAAGTGGTGAAAGATGACAATACCTGTCTGATCAGTGAACATGAACTTGACAGTGGCTTGACAATAAACAAGGATCATCATCAACATAATACTACACAGTACAGATGTAGCAAGCAGTGTTTGAAGTAATCCTAAAACCCAACAAGACAGTCGGTCAGGTGACCTACAAGTGTTGCCTGCCCATCTTCAAAGTTACCTGCCCGTATTCAGGCATTAAGAATATTGAAATATCGCGAGACAAATTATATTGCGAATTGATTCAGTTGAAATATTGCAAACAGTAACTTGACATGACATGACTTTTCAAAACATTTCTGACACAAGATGAAATAATACTCCCATCTCTGATGTTCAGTAGGAGTGAGTGAGTTGGGTTTAACCCCGCTTTGAACAGTATTCCAGTTATATCACCGCGTGTCACCTTAATGTGGGAGGAAAGCCCAAAGTTATGCAGGTCTCATACCCATACAACCCTGAAATAAAATAATAAGACCACAGTTTTTAAGGTATTAAGAGCTGAACTGGTAGGTATCTTACAAAAAGTGCATGGTTTGAGAGAGGTTTTTGTGAAGATTTCACCTGCCATTCCATCACTGACACTTGTCCTGCCAAAGTAAACATGCCTTAAAGTATGCCTTATTACTGGAATAATATGCTGCAAGTGAGAGCTTTTCAACACTATTTCACACAATGTTGGTTGGTTGGTTTGTTGTTTAATGCCACATTTAGCATTATTCCAGCTATATGATGGCGGTCTGTAAATAATCGAGTCGGGACCAGACAATCCAGTGATTGACATCATGAGCATTAATCCACGCAATTGGGATACAGTGACAAGCATCAACCAAGTCAGCGAGCCTGACCACGTGATCCCGTTAGTCGCCTCGTATGACCTGGCTGTCGTTGTACAAATAACCTTGGCCCTAAGACTGTCGTAAGTCTATGTTAATGCTTTGGAATTACGATTACCTTAGCGCTAATATCGCTTTGTACAACGATGCCCTGTTCTTCCCGGGATCTTCATGGGTTTTCACATAATGTAGTTATAAGGTTATGAGGCTATCATAGTGTTATCATTTTTGACATTTGTTAATGTTAAATATATATGAATATACATATGTTACTATATTAAACATGTTAGAAGATCTGCCATTTAGGCTACTTACAAGCAATCAAACAAGAATATCTAACACAATTGGCTGTGTTAAACTGACATTTTCTAAAAATGCTGGGTGTCGCACACTCATTTTCCTTTCACTCTGAATTATAAACCACTTGCTAATCGTTATCATTTTTTTTCCAATATGTAACCATTCATGCATTGGCTTAGACAAACATCTATTCTCAAAAATGAAAATATTTTAACGGAAAAAAACAGTTGTTAAATTATTTTAATAAATCATAAATAAAAAGGAGCCCAGAGACTTTATTCATTTTTGGAGATTTGCCAGCTGTAATAGACTTGCATGGGCTCTATTGGATACCTGACCAAATCAGACTCTGACAAATTCGGATTTCGGTGAAAAACAGACTTTTACTCCGGTCCTCTTAGTTCCTTAATATATTATCATTACTGAAACTTACCTACAACTTTCTAATTTACACTTCACACTTTGGACTAAAACTATGTTCCCAACATCCAATTTACTATAGAAAAGAAGCTGTCTAAATCGGACTGGACCAGAGGTTCTCTCTCTTTGAAGTAAGCTCAGTTATTGTCAGCTAAAACAACAATGATAATCCCGCATGTAATCCTCCACGCGGGAGGCATCAATTATCACCGTCCTCTCTTGTTAATGAGAAACTCCGCCAATTTAGATTAACTCGGTGTCATGAGTGTGTCTATAAATAACAATAAACTCAAATCTCCACCGTCATTGCCACGGAGAATGATCCCTCGATGGTGAACCACATACTTCACCTCAAAAATAGGACTGAGGACACAATTTTGAAAAACAATCTTCAGAAACATAAGCAGTCCATTCTCAATTACTTTTTCAAGTAAAGAATGTTTTATTGTGTATTTAATGCCAGTCAGCAATTCAAGTACAACATACAATATATTGCTAATAAAGATGAACGAATGTTTCTTTTTTGTCTTCAGTTCAACTTTTTATACCCTGCGTAATCCAGACCTCGCCATAAACAGGACTTTTTGACCAGTCCCAACCAAGTGAGAATTGGACAGATTCCACTGTATTTGTTTCAGGGTCTGTATGACAAATGAGCACTGGCCTGTCCTTCATCCACAGTAAAAGTCAGGAATCCTACAACTAAATGATCATCTTCCCAGTTTCCACCCTTGCTGAACTAGGCTGAATTCCTGGGCTCCATCGTAGTGCCACCAGTGGTTATTACGGGTTATGTCCCTTCTTAGCCTCTCCTATTGACCAATCCGATTCCATCATTTGCATTTGTTTCAAACAAAATGGCAGCGCCCAATCAAGACGATCTGATCGATCATCAAGATCTACATTGTGATAAAAATGGGTCTTACATCACGAAGTACATCAAATCACATGAGCACCTGGATTAAAAACATGAAAAGGTTTGGAAAATATCTGTTGACAACAAGTTGGTGGTGCACATGCTTTGCAAATCCTGCAATTGACCGAAATCTGCATGACAGTATACGAACCGGATTTCAATTTTGTTGCACGATTGTAATTGGAATATGCATAGACTCATTAGTCCAGCCAAAATGTAACTCCATAATACCAGCCTAGTTCCACAAGGGTGGAAACTGGACTTTTATAGTCAGTTAACTCCCTTACCTCTGGAAGATGCTAAATGCTGAACAAGTAGGTACTTTGTGATACTGTGTAACCTGTGTATTGGCGGCCTTGTTTTAAGTCAGATTGGAATTCTGTGTGCACTTTAATACATGTAACTACAGACTAAATAGCTGGGATACATACAAAGTTTCAGCTGTGTAGTGTCAGAGAGATGTCGAAAATGCAGTAACTCTAGAAAACTAGGGGGAAAGAAAGGTCAAAGGTTGTAGCTTGATCAAAAGTCAAAATATCCCAAGATATATATACCAAAATCACATACGAAATAATAGCTGCACAAGAACATTTCATTATGATACATGCAGAAATGATTGAGTAATGGGCAGAAATTAGATTTTAAATTCAATATGGCCACAAGACAACCATGTTTAAAGTAAGGATTTCTTTGGACTCTTTTAGAGACACAACAGCTGTGATCATTCATACAAACATTCATCTCCATAGAACTTATAGTTTCAGAGATGTAAAAAATGTAAACGTTAACGATGGCCTGACAAAAGAAAATACACCACGCTATGAGCTCACTTAGCTTTCAGTCAGGTGAGTTAGAAAGCATAATGCCAATGTTGTGTTCAGAAAATAAACATCGTTGACACTTAAAGTGTCCGCATACAGCATGTCCAGTATGAGTGGATCAATTTCACATTTTCACAGTCAGCATAATATTGTAAATAATACTTTCAGTGCATCATCACAGTCATCTATGGGATGAGAAGATTTTAAAAGTGCATCAGTGGTAATTTAGGCAGTGAATAATCTGGGCGCTGTAAAATTCTGCATTTTAATCACCAACACCACCATCCCATTCCAATTGAGGCTACAGAGGCTTAATATGTCAAAAACATCAATGGATGTCCTACCTAATGCAAATGTAATGAGAACAGGATGACACCACATTTTTAATTGTCATTGTCTTGTCACAAGATATATTACATCACACTCATTAATTTTCAAACTGAATATGAAAGTACTCTCACTGACCATAAACACCAGCTGTGCATCGTACATTTCTCCCTGAACATTAAAATAGCACAGGCATGTCTGGAAAACAGCGACATGGAATAAGTTGCCAAGCTTGCTAGACATCAATTAAACAATCTCATCCATGCAGGGATGTGCAGCCATCTGGCCTTCTTCAAAAACAACATCCTTTGGAGAAAAAGGTGGTTTTCTTCTACCATCCATTGAGTCATGCCCTTGTGACCAGTTGAACAACTTTACAAGCATAAGGAGCACACGTGAGAGTGGCATTCTCTCCTCCCACGCTAAATTAAACACTACCTACACTTTCAGACTCCAACTCTTAACTTCCAGAATGGCTAACACTACAGTTACACCCTGGTAACAAGGAAGATTTTGCCAAATTTCAGGCAAGGAAAGAATTTTTGATATTAACCTTCTAATCAGACACTGAACTCACAATTAAATTGCTCTTTTTATTAAATGTATTTTCAGTGAAAATAAAACTTCTTCATCACAAATGATATATTTTTATAATTCATGTTTGCATCTTGAAAAACTTCAAACAGATTTTATCTGATAACCATTTAACAATCTCTGTCTCGACAAGATAATTTTATAAAATTATTTCAATCAAAATAACAAGATGACTTGAACCAATAATTCCACACACGACCCCCATGGGACAAACGTAATGTAAAAGCTTACCTTGAAATGCTGCCTCAGTGTACAGCATGTACAGGACTACAAACAAACAGCATCAGTAACAACACTACCAACCTCCGTGTGGCGGGGAGGCTACCTCCTGATGGCAGGTATTTACACCACTGAGGGATCTCAATACTCCTGCATTGTTCCAAGAGTTTCAAATGTCCATCTGGCACGGGGAAGTGTTTAGAAAGTCCGTGGGAGTCTCCCTAGAGCAGGAATATGTGTAGTGCAAGTAGTCTCCCCGTGAGGCGATGTTCGTATCTTCCAGGGAGGATTGTCCCAGGTAATGGCCAGAGTACTGCGCCACCACAGTGAGTGCTGCATATGTCTACACAGTGCCCATTATCATAATGCAACAGTTCCTGATATTTCCCAGATTTTTCAAAGTTGCTTAGAGAATATTCTCTACACAACCATCAATGGATAGATGCACAATAATTTAATTAGGAAATGTTATGCATTATTTGAGACACAACCATAATTGACGCAGTACATTTTTGGTATTTTCTTTTTTCATTTAAAAAAATTTCCCAGATTATTTTCCAACTAGAAATACAAAACACATTTGCCTGATTTTTATATATTCTGAGATTGTTAGCAGTGTTTGTCAGCAGGTATGAGCAGCCTAGCAGTACATACACGATTGCCTGTTGATCTGCTTACCGCTACTGGGTTGTCAGGAAATCGGTTTCACTCAGCGTGTTTCTCAACATACCTACCGTCTTCCACCTTGTTAGATACAATATATGATGTAGAAGACAAACCGGTGGGAACACTTCATACAATGTCCATTAACGTAACATTATCATGAAATATATGAACGTGATGTAAAAAGTGTCACTCTAAACACATTACCTTCAGAGTGGTGCAAGATTATTTTGTCACATTCTTGAAACATCTTTCACTTAAAACTACAATTGGCTTGTCAAAAGTCAAATATTGATTCAGTTTTACAAAACACACAAGCGTCAGGAAGAGAATGGAATTTTAATCTGTATCACAGCAGCATGGGATGTAATTAAGCCTGGAACATGCACTGCAGCAACAAAGTGTTAAATTGATCCCAACTCTCTGGCTACATGACACATGGTGAGATAGGTCAGTTTCGAGATGGTTTTCCCAGGTGAGTGAGTGAGTGAGTGAGGGAGGGAGGGAGGGAGCGAGAATGAGTGAGCATTGCAACCAGCAGTTAGATGGTGGCCTGAAATACTAGTCCTCACCAGGCAAATGAAAGATTGAAATCATGAGCACTGAAGCACATCTGGGAACCATGCCACAGAGACAGCAAGGTCACAGAGGCTGACCAACGATTCAACATAGTTGCCTCTTACAAACAGCAATGATGTGTTGCCAGCTTAGGAACTTGTTTTCTTAAAGACTAGGCCAGAGGACCCTGACACCTTATCAGTCCAGACTAAGGACCAGAAGAAATGTTTCACTAGTCTTCAGAATATGTACTGCTTGAACGAGACAAAAAGTATTACTAAATTCACATTTTATGTCAGTTTTATTCGGTTCCAACTGCTACTAGTCAATGAGGTGAGGTGAAATGGGGGTTTGATGTCGCATTCAATATTATCGCACTTCCATAGCCACGTGCATGCATGGTGTGGCTGCTTGTTACCATTTCAGACTAATGCCAATTTTATAATGCTAGCCAACTGAGATACCATGCCACAGAGTAACATGAATACCCCACTCAGACTCTGAGCTGACCACTCCTTGTTTTAGCCCCTTAATCCTGAATGCCAGGCAGAATAACAAGTACCATCTTTAAAAATCTCTTGGTATGATGCGGCTTGGGATCGAACCCTCGACCTTCTGCTCTCCAGGCAGACACTCTACCACTAGACCACGAAGGCAGTCACTGGTCCATGTTGTCAATGAGGACTACGATCATTGGATCTTTAATTGTACTCAGCACAATTTAGCAGTCCCAGACTAGCAGACTAGCGCAGATTATGAAGGCTGTGTTGTAGACCTATTCCAACTCTTATCCTCACTGGGAAACCATATAAAATCTATCCAGTCATTCGAAATTGTGACTACCAAATCACCATTTTTAACAAGCAGTAGGAACCAAGGATTTACTCTCTTCTGAAATTCCTTCGCACAAACTATATGCTACCATGTTAGCCCGAGGCAAGCAAAATTAAGAAGTGCTTGTACAATGTTATCAGTTGTCCAACTGCAAACTTCATCACATACTACTAATGTTATTCTTTCTTTCAAATATTTGAATCTTTTTTTATTAAGAATTTACACAGGTCCATAGCTACGCAGTCCATCACAAATACAACACTTCTTACTTCCAGGCATACTTCAGCACATTTAATCATTTCAGTGTCTAAACATCATAAGGTGTTGTGAAACCCTTAAGGGCTAGTTTGGTCAACTGAAATAACTGAGAGCTGATGGATAGTCATTATTTGGCCAGCGCAAATCCTTCACTCACACACGTGTATGTTATCGTTTGTTTATTGAAATGCTAATTAATGCACATATTTAGCAGGTAACAGTTAAACAAACAGCACAAGGGACAATATTTAAGTTGTTCATATTAAATGGCCATTTGAGAAAAACCCTTAGAATACCTGGCTGATTCTTTTGTGAAGGATCTATCATACTAGAGAAAAAAACACTCAGCTGTTTTTTCCAATCTTACTGGTCTCTTTAGCAAGTTTTCACAAAGTTTGTACTTTCCAAAAAACATCTCATAAACTGAATCACTGCACAGAAAACAGAAAACACAAAACAATAATTTGTAGTCTGCAGGGTCTTCCAAGCCGTCGTCAAAAGAACCCTGAAAGCAAACCTCAAAGAGTATGCGTGTTAACACATTATATATATATATCCAACATATATTTCCATCAATATTTGGGTTTGTTGTTTTCTTCATGGCTGATAACTATGGTCATCAATATTTCATCACAGTGTCATCAACATTCCATTCTTACAACCGCCATGTTTACTGCAACATACTATGCAGCGAAAAACAGCATACCCGATACAATATCCACAGTCATTCTAGTATGACCTCCAAACAAGCTTAACTGCTGGCAACATCACTTATCCTACAACTAAGACTTGTAGCACAACCATCTGTCAAGGCGCAGACAGCTACGTCTTCCAACAGCCATCCTCTCAGTGAGAGCCTGAAGCCTTTTACCAAACATCCAACATGGCAAAAGGTTATCTCAATACAAACAACTGGCAAAGCCAGGCTAAGCATAGGTAAGTGCTGACATGTACAAAGAATTAGAAATGGGAGCAATGTGTGTATGTCTTGTTGTAGTGAGCAGTAGTCGGACTTGGCCGTAACTGACCAATGTCCACAGTACAGGTCATGAGTGAGTGAGTGAGTGAGTGAGTGAGTGAGTGAGTGAGTGAGTGAGTGAGTGAGTGAGTGAGTGAGTGAGTGAGCATGGTGAGTGAGTGAGTGAGTGAGCATGGTGAGTGAGTGAGTGAGTGAGTGAATCAGTGAGTGAGTGAATCAGTGAGTGAGTGAATCAGTCAGTCAGTCAGTCAGCAGCGTTAGAAATTGGCACTAGTCCTGTAGTCCTTACCAAACTGCCCAATAGTAAAGATATCCTAAGGACTAGTAGAAATTGGCCCAATTTAAGGGTATTGCTATATGTTATCATTATAAGGCCTAGTGGACAAAAACTGTTAGTTTCTAACCCTGGTCAGTCAGTCAGTCAGTCAGTCAGTCAGTCAGTCAGTCAGTCAGTCAGTCAGTCAGTCAGTCAGTCAGTCAGTCAGTCAGTCAGTCAGTCAGTCAGTATTTCTGCTACAGTGACCTGCAAACAATCACATCTGAACCGAACAAACCTGTGTCTGAAAGCATCTTTTGTTTATTTGTAGCTTAATGCTGCAGTGCAATATTACTGCTACATAATGATGGCCTGTATAAAAATCGAATCTGGACCAGACAAACCAGTGATTGATACTGTCAGCAACGACCCTTTCATTCTTACTTGTCTAACACTATCTGTTGAATCCTCGCAGCCTTTGTTCTCATATATGTCATCACTGCTACCACTTCAAATGGTGCTAAACTAGACTTAAATCCCTCAATCAAAACTTGGTGTGCATTGAAACCCTGCCAACTCCCATGTCAATATCTAACCAAGAAAAGACAGCAAAATGACGCAGCTTCCTCAGGCTTACATTTCAGCTACATCACTTTCTAAACCTTACAAAAAAAAACTACCAGATTTTTAACACTTACAAATTCGACATAATTTGCAGGGACATGATTCAACCCCCACAAGCTTCCTTGACAAGCATCCGGACAACACTACCAAAGCCAGCATTTCCTGGGCCCTCAAGGCAGCAGTAACAAAAGAAACTGCAGGGCTGGTAAGGCTGGTGGGCTGGTGTTCAGGTCTATCATAGAAATATAGGGACGGCTCTCTCCAGGAATGGTCCATCTGTATGATAAAGTAGTGATGAGTGCCTTAGTATTGTCTGATATTCTGTAGCCAGAAGGAACAACTGAAAGGAAGTTAACTAGCTACAACCAACAGCCATTCATGAGACCATGTTTCTGGTACCCCCCTGGGTATTTCAGGGCAGAATAGGTCCTCACTACCCTAGGCCTATCTCCCTGTGGGGATTCTGGGGCAGAACAGGTCCCTTGTACACGATGCTTTCTAGTATGGGGCTTCTGGGACAGAATATGTCCCTATAGTTCGCTCACAGTCCCTGAACCAATTGTTTTCCCCCTTCTGCCCAGCCCTTACTGCAATGATATAGCCCTTAATGAATCAAGTCTAGATTTTCCTCAGCAGCGTTAGAAATTGGCACTAGTCCTATAGTCCTTGCCAAACTGCCCAATGGTAAAGGTATCATAAGGACTAGTAGAAATTTGCCCTTTTTAAGGGTTTTACTATATGTTATCATTATAAGGACTAGTGGACGAAAACTGTTAGTTTCTAACCCTGCTCAGGGTTCAGGTTCTGAATCTCCTATCTCACTGAGGTCCTTTCAATTTAAATGGATTTAATTGTTTCTATCAAGATTATATATTTTCAGAGACTTATCCTTGGGGTAAGGTCCCTAGTACCCCCATGCTTATCTCCTGTGGAGATTCTGGAGCAGAAAAGGTCCATTGTAACTTCTCTCAGAGCTGATTGACGAATGGTGACTACAGGGAATGTACGACCTTACTCATTGTGTGTCATCATTCTCCAGTTTATGAGAACTGATTCTCATGCCGTCAACCACTGGTTCATCTGGCCCAGACAAGGATAATTTACAGATGAGACTTGATCATTTACAGAC